ACCTGTTGGGCTGATTACCTTTCCTTTTCCTGGGTAGTTTTGGTTCTTCCTGTAGTTGTGTTTCTGCCTCTAAGTCATCTCCTAAGCTGTACCCTCTTCCCTAATTGGCCCATTTTCCTCAAGCCCAGTAGCCAATCCTTGAATCTTTTCTTAAAACCTGACCTCCCTCTTGGAGACTCAACAAAGTAACTGTTCCATTTAGGCCCCACCCTGCTTAGAGAGTCATCTCCCATGACTTACCCTTCAATTATTACTCTGCTGCATTTATATAAGGTAAATGCTTTTGACTATTTCGTGTTTGTTCAGTTAGTTTGGTAATCCTTTGGACAGATTTATTGTTTTTATTTATATTAGGTGTCAGCAACTAGAAGTCAGAGACCGTGTTTGTTTAAATAACTCTCTATTGTACCTAGCACAGTTCTTGGTACAAACAGGCATTTGATAAATGCAGACATTGATTGTAGTGTTTGCTAGTTTCTAGAAGGGTGTGTGAGGACCAGATTTCCACCAAAGAAACCCTCGGCATGTTTTCCTAGTAAATGCCGTTGGCTCCACCGAGCTGCCTGCCCTATTCTGTTCTCCATCCATCTGGCTGCCAGCCATCTGCTCTGAGTCCTCAACTCCTGAGGAAACCTGGACCAAGCAGGCTCCCTGTCCCTGCTGCCCCACGTGCTCGACAGCTCTTGTCAGGGGCTTAGCACTCTGTGGCTGGTGGCAAGGAATCCCATTGGTACAGTAAGCTTGTGTATAAGCTCTAGGTAGCATTTTCCAAGCTTATTAAAATTCTTACATGTGTACAGCTTGACTTCTTTAAGCCCGGGCTAATTTATTGGGCTTGAACATGTGGCTTAAAGTACTTGAGTGGTGTTGCCTCAGGCCCTGCCCATGAGTCAGTCCTCCAGCACCACTCCAACCTTGCACTCTGGACCACTTTCAGAAATGGGGGAAGGGAAGCTTGCAGGGCATCCCTGATTAACTAATATTATTCACTGGGACATTTCATTAACTAGGCCCCCCCCACCTTCACTCAGCTTTTAGGAAACAGAAGACCATAGATACTAAGAAAATCAGCTGGTGTCAGAGAATGTATTCAGAGAACCAGCACTGACATTATATCCTGGGTCAATTTTCCAGCAGTCTGCTGTGACTTTTCCTGTAATGGCACTGATGTCATGACAACTGTCACTGCAGTCCAGCCAAAGACAACCAAGAGCACACGTCTAGTTGAACAAGTTGGCTTTATTGCTCATTGCAGCAAAGGAGAGCACACCCTATAGGGAACCATGGGCATCTCAGGAAGACAGTGTGTTGCAAAGACTTGTGACGGGATTTGGGCTTGTGCTAAGTGTTTTTGGAGAGTGCTGAAGGAATCAGGACTTTGCTCTGAATTGGATATTGCCTGGAAAGAGACAATTCTGTGATTCAGTATTTTAATGAACCTTACCTAAGGGACAACAGACTAAGGTTGGGCCAAAGCTGAAACTGGAAAAGAAGCAGTAGTTCCTCATTAGCTGGGAAAGTGGGGGTGTTTCATGTTTTGTGGCTTGGATAGCATTCCTGTTTTGTCTGTGTTCAGATGTCATTACAGAATGGTCTATTTATTTTTTTATTTTTTATTTTTTTTAGTTGTAGATGGACACAATACCTTTATTTTGTTTATTTTTATGTGGTGCCAGGGATCGAATCCAGTGCCTCACACATGCTAGCATGCACTCTACTACTGAGTCACAACCCCGGCCCCCAGAATGGTCTATTTTTGATCCATCATGGTTGCAGAGTGGCTCTGTTGATGTTGTGTTCAACAGGAGAGCACCAAGGCCCCTTCCTATTCCCAGGCCAGCTCCCCACACCAGGAGCTGCTTGGCTCCTGCTTACAACCCATGAGTAGGGTAGTGACTCCCTGGCACTGACAGATCCTCATTCATCTTTTGGAAAAGCCACTGTCTTTTGTTTTTTCTTTTTTAAAGAGAGAGAGAGAGAGAGAGAGAGAGAGAGAGAGAGAGAGAGAGAGAGAGAGAGAGGGAGAGAGGGAGAGAGGGAGAGAGAGAATTTTAAAAAATATTTATTTTTCAGTTTTCGGTGGACATAACATCTTTATTTTATTTGTACGTGGTGCTGAGGATCAAACCCAGCATCCTGCGCATGCCAGGCGAGTGCGCTACCACTTGAGCCACATCCCCAGCCTGCCACTATCTTTTTTTTTTCTAGCAACAACATAATGTTAAAATAGAATGGTATAAATTAAAAAAAAAAAAGATTTCTCATTATAACTACTTTTATTTTTTCCATTTTCTTCTAGTCATTCTCTGTAGGTATAATTTACTCACAATGTAACAGTTGTATGTGCAGGTAAATTTTTTAAAAAATTAATTAATTTACCAAATATTTGTTAAGCATCTTTTTCTCTGTGCTGGGCATTCTTCTAAGCTCATGTGGCTTATATTTCAGTGGGGAAGATAGATAATAAGTAGATAATGCAATAACACCTCATAGGTGGCATGAAGAAGAATTATGTGGGAGATTGGAATAGAAGGTGAAGGGGGAGACCCTTTTTGAGATAGAATAGTCTGAAGTGGTCTCTCTGGGTGGAGATGTGTGATGCCTGAGTAGAGCTGTGGGTGTCGCTCAGTGGTAGAGTACTTGCCTAGAAAGTGCAAGGCCCTGGGCACCACCACCAAAAAAGAAAAAAAAATCTTGCTGATAGACTGGAAATATTTCAAGGATAACCTCAGGGTGTGGGTTCAAGCTGTAGGGTGAAGGATGGTGGCATTAGTGCCACTTACTGAGCTGTGAAGACAGGGCATGGGGGAGGGGAGTAGGGAATGAACCTTGCTTGGGCACTTCAGGTTTGAGAGGAGGTCATCCAAGTGGAGAAATCAGGTTAGCAGGTGGATATATGGCATCAGGGGTCAGGCTGGAGAGACCAGTGTGAGCATTTCCAGAGGGGTAACTGTGAGAACACAGGACTGGATGGGCAATGCAGGCCTGGGGGTGGTGTGTGCATTGTCATAGGAAAGCAGGAAGAGTGACGGGTACTGAAGGAGGTAGATGGGTAGTCAGTGAATGCGGAAGGGAGGCGTGTTGGAGGTCTGGGGAGAGAGTGGGAGAAATGGTCATCTTGGAGACTAAGATGGTGAATTCTCTGGGGAGGTGTAGCCAGTTCTTAGTGTCTCTTCAGAGTTTGGTCACATATTTAAAGTGAAGATTTTGTTTTTCTAGGCACATTTAGCTGCGTAGACACAGGCTTGGAGTAGGTGTGGAGTTGGGCTGAAGGAAAACTGAACATTTGTCAAATAGGAAACAGGAGCAAAGTCAGGGAGGTTGGGGAGGGTGTGTGCAAGGGAGGGATTAAAACATTGGTCCTTGGAGTTCGGGCTGGTGAGGAAGTGCAACTATGACAGGGAGTGTCATTTGATATAATCTTTTTGGAGGGCAAGTGGGCAATGGCTGCCAACCTTTTTTGTTTGTTCATTTTTGTTTTTAGTGGTGCTAGGGATCAGACTCAGGGCCTCACACATGCTAGGCAGGGATTCTACCACTGAGCCACACTACCAGCCCCCACGCCTGTCAACTTTTAAAATCTACACGCCTATGGTCCTAACCTAGGAATATGTCTTCTAGGTACAGTCCCTGTGTGTATGCAAATTGGGTAGGTGAGGGTGACCATTGAAACCCTGGGCCTATTTCTGTGTGTGTGTGAGAGCAGGCATTTGTGTGTTCACATGTGCACTGTGGTAAGGCTGCATCTCCCTCGCTACAGCCCTGCCCTCAGCAGGAGTTGGGGAGGCCTGCTGTGTTCCATGTGCCTCTAACGATGGTACCCCATCTTTGCTGAACATATGGATAAAATATATTCTTTTGCACAGTAGGTTATGAAAATTTTCAGTTCTTTGCAGTCTTCATTTTGCTTTCACTAAAATCTTTAGGAGTAGGGGCTGGGGCTGTAGCTCAGTGGCAGAGCATGTTTGAGCCACTGGGTTCAATCGTTAGTACCACATTAACAAAATAAATAAATAAAATAAAGGCACGCTGTCCATCGAAAACTACAAAAATTAAAAAAAAAATTCAGGAGTTAAGATTACACTTGGTTGGACATTATAATTTTTAAATGATTTGCTTATGTAGTATTTGTAAATTGGTATCACAAGTTTGCATCTGTCTTTATTTCTTTTATTATTTTAGAAAGCAACTGTACATTTTAGGAACATTTTCAGGGGCCCTGGATGGAAACCTGTTTCTCAGAGCTTTGGCCTTTTTCTCATTTTATTATAGTGATAGAGCCAGAAAAATATGTTTGACCTTCTTTTTTCTCAGAGGTTTTACCAAGATATGGTTGATTTCACATAACCCAAGTTTATTTGGT